GGTCATGCATCAATAACAGCACTTTATATTTCTGTCATATAAATTGTCTTCGATTCGATTCGGTTTAAAATACATTTTAACTATATTCGAATGATTTACGAAAAGAACTATAAATTCATGATCAACATATGTGCGAGAAACAATTACATCATATCATATATATTTTTTCATTTTTTTCTTCATGAAATTGATTCTCAAGACACTTTGTGAACTGATCTTATTGTTCCATTTAAAAATAAATTATTGATACTTCAATTTTTTTCTACGAAAAACCGACACAAAAAAAGATAAGTAATATTAGCAATAGATTTGCATATTGTAAGCAACTATTCGTGGACACACTTGTACCAAATAATCTATACCTTTTGGAAAAATTTGTCGTGAAACATCGTTGAAAAATTCAAAACAGTACTTTTCAAATCCTGTTTTCTCTATCAAAATCATTACATGAATATAACGTTCATTCCAACAGCCATGTCAGCTGCGAAAAGAAGTCTCCCAAGTAGAACTCGGCAAGATCTATTGAATAACACTAGAAATACTCTAGTTACTCAATATTCGACGATGCTGCAGGGGCAAAACCTTGTGTAACAACGGTCCTACTGACTCTCACAATCGAATATCCTCTTTACGACCTGTGCCAACTGTAAAAGGGATTGTGTCAGATTGAATCACCAATAGATAAATGACTCCTCTTTACTTATGAATTTTCATCATCATCATCATTCATCAACCATTTGCCGTCCACTGCTGGACGGATGGGTGTGGGTGGGGGTGGGTGTGGGTTTGGGTGTGGGTGGGGGTGGGTGTGGGTTCGGGTGTGGGTGTGTGTGTGTGTGGGGTGTGGGTGTGGGTGTGGGGTGTGGGTGTGAGTTAAGTCAACAACTATACCGATACCCACACCAACCCCAAATGTTAGAAGTTATCAGAGGTTCGTACAAGATTAATTGGATAATAGAGTATATGGATGGCATTGAAAAATGTACCTTGCGAAGTTTTGGCTCTATGGGGAGGGCACTTCTATCGAGAGTGTACGAGAGTTTACTTCGAATTCATCGGAATGGAATGAAGCTTTCAGGGCTTGTAGGACTCGTACCTGTAAGCATAACTGTAGGTTCAAAAAAACTGAAAACCTTGTGAAGAGATTCAAATAGGGAGGACCAGGTGGACCTCCTAACCATATCGGACCTTATCTAGCTCCTCTATTACAAATGTGAGAAGTCTGAAAATTTTACCATAGATGCCATTCGTTGAGATGATCATTTTTTGTAGCGGATGTTTTTTTCCCGTGTTCTTTTTTTTGTGAAAAAACCTACAGAAAATGCTAATTTTTGACGTTTTTTTGAGCTGAAATATCTCTATGAAGCTCAAACAGAATTTTAACTTTTGTTAGTGCTCTAGAATCGACTAACTGTCCTCTATCTAATGCTGAAATTCCCAAGTCTGTAGTTTGTTCCTAATCCAAATGGCAAACCATCTTTGGAGCTTACTCTCGAATTCTCCCCAACTTTACATTCTCCCTTAGATAAAAACACGGGATTACCAAAATCTGTCCTATAGGCGGAACTTCATCAGCACACCTAGGTCTACCATTCCTGGTGGTTTCATCAAACTAGGCTCGGTAGAAAAAATTCAGGACTCAAAAGGTTAATCAGTATGCGTGTACTATTATTAAATTTCCATCATCAACCTTATTCTTGCTTAATAGTTTTCGCAATAAGTACAAAACAAAAATAAAAATGATACATGTTACAATAACACATTTAGGGTGTGGGTGTGATGTGTATCGAAAGAACACCCACACCCTTTTGTCGACTCTTTCAATTCCCTTGTCGTGTACGTCGTTTATGAATGATCTTCAAGTGATCGGAGGTGCTATATTGTGTTTTTATGGACATGTGAAATTTGGCACATCTATAATCGGACAAGGTTTGGTTGATGTTTTTACAGCTGTCGGTAAGTATGAATAAAGTCTTATTATGTTCTTAATTCTAATTCCCTTATATTTTTTTAAAATTCTCTTTCTTTCCAGCTACAAAGATTACAGATGATTTTAGTATGTCTGATTATTTCAAGAATAAAATTGTATCCTATGGTACACAATTATTTGGTCTCGGGATGCTAGATCGGTTTGTTACACCACTTATGTCAACACAAACAATTAATATTATTGGTTTTGGTGTCAAAACTGTCCATGAATTAGCTACAAATGGAATTAATCTTGATTTTTTGAAAAATGCTGCCTTAGGTGCACTACAAGTAGCTGGTATAAATGGAGATAGTTGGAAATATGCCAAAACAATCGTGAAAAATATTGATACAGCTACAGCTTTAATATCGGGTGATTTCAAACAAATAATGAATGTAAAAATAGTAAATAATTTTTTGCAATTATTTGATGGTGAGAATGCATTACTAAAAGGAAAAGAAAAAGAAATTTTAAGTCGAGCACTTAATTTCAGCGTAGATCTTTCGAATTTTGATAAAAATAATCCATTATCAAGTGCATTTAAATAAATTGAAAAACAGATTGGCTCACTACCTGTAAACTCAATTAATAGCTAATGCACTTCCAAAAGCACTAGAAGAAGAATATACTAAACGAAACAAAGATATTAATCAATTAATTCATACAACAATTGATTTGATCAATTCAAGTGGACATTTAACAACAGATGATGCTGTACGAGTTGTTACAGAAATCTTTCATGCAACAGATCCATCTTCTATCTATGAAGCAAATAAACATAGATCAAATGTAGGTGTTCGTTCTATAGTCGAACCATGTATTCAACAGTGTAAACACTTTCAAGATCAAATAAAATTTTTTGAAAATCAATTTGCAGTTCAAAATTGTTTTGACATGTTACGACAACAAAATATCTCATATGAAACACTTATGACATCCAATGGTTCGAACTTAATGAAAAATATCATTGGACAGCAATTGCAATCAAATAACATGCAAGCAGATATTCTTAAGACTGTTCTTTTCAATTCAGTTGATAAATTAGTAAATCCAATAGGTCAAACTAGAGGAATAGATGTGATAAATAGTGATGCAGGAAAATTATTAAAGAATCATATAGAAATGAACATAATTCGACCATATTTGGATATTCAACAAGAAAAAGATCTAAATAAAGCAGATCAAAAGCTGATGAATCAATTCTCAACTGCATTCGAATATTTACAAAGACAGAGAGTAAATGGTCATAGACAATAAATTGTATAAAAGTTAAGACTATCTTCATCAGCTGTTTATTTTTCGTTCACCGAAAACAAGTAAATAAACTTGACCTTTGTTTAAAATACTTATAAGAAGGCAACTCTTAGAATGAAAATTAAAGGTGGATGTGGGTGTGACTTCAAGTCTTGTCTTAAGCATCTGAGACTCAAACCCACTCCTCACCCCTGTTAATGCAGCGTGATCGTCTGATGAATATTTTTCTGAAAAAGATCCCCTAGCATGATAACTAAAAGTATGTTCCGGATGTCTTCCTTATCCTATCATAGAAGCTTTATTCACCGCCTTTTATGAAAATTTTTTAGTAGGATGGTATTAGTTTTACGTATTGCTTCTTTGAATAAATTAAAAGCTGAAAAATATGGCTAAATTCCAAATGCGAAAGATTTTGACTGAATACGCATTGAACTCAATATAAGAGGAATTAGAAAATCAAAGACGAAAAAGTTATTTTGAATAGAAGACTCTGGTCTTCCATTATGTATTTCGCATCAAATCCTTCGGGGATTTTTTAATATGAGAGGGTCTTCTATTATACAGGGAAGGGGGAGAGTTAATTGAAAAAAATGAAAGGTTATTAGAGAGTATGGAGAGCTAGTTGTGTCACTTCCTACTTGATCCAAAATAAACTTTCGATTCTTTTATTCCATCATCATTCGGTATGTCTCTGTTTAATAGAAATATGAGATAATTGATTATTCTTTTTTTTTTAAACGAAATAAAATTTGATTTTTAATTTCATAGGCGACCGATGTAAGTGCTAATATAGGCCGATAAGTAGCTGTTTGAATCGAATAAAATCAATCACCATTCGTATTTTTTTTCAGTAAAATACATAGTTGTTCCAAATTAAAATGCAACTAATGTCAATAGAATTCTTATCAAGAGAAAAAAACAAAGTATTGATATATATTTTTTTAAAAGATAAACTCATTATTTAATACTTTAAAAAACAGATTCAATATTGCAAGAAAAAAGTGAAGTCGATAGACATTTTGATTGAATTAATTGATTTATTGATAGCAATTTTCATATCTAAGATGTTTGTTAAAAACACATTTGATTTTAGTCTCTTTGAGAGCTTGAGTGATTATATATTTATCCTTTCATTTCTAAACATAGTATATAAAACATAAAAAAGAAGAGAAAGTATTTTATGTTCAAATATTATTATTATTTATAAATATCAAGTATTATTTCGCTGTTTTAACCAATAGTCCATGTCCAATCGACATCTTCCAAAGTTAATCGATTAACTTGAAAATTAGAACATCTCGTAGGATAAGTAGAAAGTGAATGAAGATGAATTAATTTTGATGTGTTGCCTTTTGAAGGTAAAAATGATACTGAAATATGTAGTTGAAGGAGCACACCAAGATCATTTCGATACTGTTGATCGATTGCATAATCATCAAGAAAATCATCACGACCATATAATATTAAACCACGAGTTCGATTTTTGCGTTCGACAATTTCAACATCTTGTACATGGTGACTCAAATGTCCATGTATAAGATCAACACCTTGCTTAATCATCCATCTAGCAAGTTCTTGAATTTTCATATCCAGTACCTATTGATAATCTGGACCCCAATGAACTGAAAAAATAGAGAAATGGAAGATCATAATGAGCAAGAAGATGAAATGAACGAATCTAATGTGGAAAGTAAACCAATTGTCAATGATGAAGAAGAACGAGGTGCACTTGCATTCATAGGTACAGGTTTAACCTTTTCAACAGTGGCTGAGTCATTGATTGGAACATCAAGAAAAACTGGACCAAGAGCCTGTTGACGTGTTCTTCCCACACCTTATTATACAAAATGAGAACGACATCAAATAAAAAACAAATAACTCACCAACGTATGATATACCAGATTTATCTAAGGTTTCGCATGTTTCTTCAAGTCCTTCTACTCCAAAATCTAATGTATGATTATTGGCAAGATAAACATGATGAATATTTGCTGCAGTTAAACAAGCTATATTAGCAGGAAGAGTACGATAATTAAATAAAAATATTAAAGATTATCATAATAAACAGAAGAAGTTTGTAACATACTTGAAAACTTTACGAGGCCAACGTTTGCCATGTTTAGTGATCGATGTTTCCAAATTAATTATGTTCAAATTTCCCTAATAGATTATGAAAATGTTGGGGTGTGGGTGTGGGTGTGCGTATCAGTTTTCTATACATCCACACCCACTCTCTGCAGGGGAATACAGATGTGAGCCAAAATTCGATAGAGAGCTATCGCAACATTAACCTTTAGAAGTCACCCCTAACTGGATTTCAATGTGGAAAACCGAAAATATTTTGAGAATCGCAAATGGGTATTATCCGCACTTCTTCTAGATGGAACGTGCTAAAAATTCATCAGGCTTATTACCTTGCTGACTGCATCTGTGTTATAATTCTTATATAGATGTGTGCGCAGAAGCCTCATCCATGTCATAGAAGAAACTGCATTTCGATATCGTTTTGTGTTCGTGAGCTATTCTAAAATTAACAAAATTAAAAAAGTGTACTTTATAAAGTATGCTGATCCTCAGAGGATTAATATAAGTAAAAAGAACATGATCATTATTAAATCGAAGATCTCTAATAGTATGATTATTATCTTCTTTTTCATATTGTGCACGATTATTCGATGTCATTTCGATAAATATTACAATGTGTTTTTTTGTTTTGTTTACATCTGAATATTGCAAAACGTGCAAATGTCGATAATAAGATCATTCTGTTTTTCTTCTGTTTATGAAAGGATAAAAACACTTTTACTTCATGCTGTGTTTTTTTAATTGTTTTGTTTATAAATATCGTAGAACAGAATAAGAAACACGCACTTGTATTATCTTTATATTCAAAATAGACACAAGTTTTTTAACGTTTCTGGTGAAAAGAAACAATTTGTGATATTAGTAGATTAAAAAATTTAGTTTTACTCCATGCATTACTATATCTAAGCTTTTATTAGAACACTTATTGAATTTAATGATAAATTATATTCATTGAAAACTCTCTCCAAGAGACAAGTCTTCTGGCACTTACCCTTAATTCAATTGAGTTATTTTTAACATTAACAGTATTATAGTCTCCTTTCTAAATTAAGGAAAAACGGTTATCTAAGATTCGTATGAGATTTCTCAGCTAAGAAATACCTATATATTATTCTAAAGAGAGATAATTATGCATTTTTGTCAAAAATTCATCAGTAGATTTCGTTTGTCTTTAGGCTTTATATTTCATCCGAAATAAAATAAAGAAATAGATCAATAAGATATTATAATTATTGAGAAATAAACAGAAGATAGTTTTCAATTGAGATAAATATATTGTTTCATGAAGGAAATATAAAGTTCAGTCTTGCAATAGTAATCGATAATTCAATCATTGATTAGTGGCAATGGCCCTCATTTGAATTGTAGTATCCAAGGTAGTCACACGATTTTGTCGTCGTCTTATAATAATATTTTTCAATTGGGGTGTCATAAATATCATTTGTATACTTAATATTGCAAAAGACACTTCGGGTCCAACCCACGTAATACGATAGGTTAATGGATGTTCAATACCAGTGATGAAGCACATTATCAGAAGGGTTACACCTGGAATTCCAAGAACAAACAATAGACCAACATTAATAAAAATTCGTTGAATAGCGGCCAAATCTCTTTTTTGTCGTTGCTTTACCATCAATGTTTGATTAAGGGGTTGTTGACGAATAAATATTGTAATACGAAGATATATAAGAGATAAAAGTAAGAGAGGTAATCCATAAGCAATAAGTAGAATCCAAAGAAAACCACGAACTTTTGTGAATGGAACAAAACAATAATATTCGTTAGGTAAATATATAACATCATGCCAGATTAGAATAGGACATAAAATAATAATAGCTTCTACTAATTGAACAGGTATTGCGATGACATAAAGCCAGTAAAATTGAACCCATCTATGATTTGAATACACAATACGACAAAGACGATAGAAGGCCTAGAAAATGAAATGAGATAGAATATTATTCAAGCTTAATATAATATGTATATATGTACTTAAATCAATATCAGTTTCGAAGCTTTCGGATTTATAAGAGTTATGACAAACTTCCAGATTTTGATTAAAGAAAATATGTTATTTTCAACGAATAACATGATATTTCTTAACATCAAAGCTAGAAAAGCCAAAGGGCTTTGCTTTAAGATAGAAAAGCATTGCGTTGGCATAGTCTAAATCAAAACTATTTGATGCTTACATATATAAAATATGTAAGTCATTTTTTTGCGGGTGTGAGTGTAGGATGTGGATGGAAGACTATCACGTACACCCACACCCACTCGAATGGATCGGCTTATACCATTAGCATATTGGGAAGGCTAGTATTCTATTTCTGTGATGATTTTATCAGTGGTTCATCTGGAACCACTTCGAGAGATAAAGGGTTAAGCTGACTAACTCTATTTTTAGCCAGGAAAAAGACCGCAATTATATATTGAAAACTGATATGACGAATCTAAAAATATTCTAGAGATAGAAATCTTACAGTTATGAGAGTGTTTATAACCATCTGTTGAAATAAATACTTACTCTTCAAGATTATGAATTGCAAGATCATTTGGTTTGTTCGAATAATTAATATGGAAGAAGTTTTTTTTGATTTAATTATTTAATTATTTCAAGAAGAGGGTATTTATTTAGGCCAAAAATTCGAAGAATTATCAGAACCTACTTTTTTTAGATTGCCTGGATTTATATACATGAGAGAATTTATTTTATGAGAGCCTATAACACGTCCCAATTGCACTGAAGAAAATCTCAATTTCACAAAATGAACTTGTACATCCATCCTGACTCTTGCTCTTGCCCTGTCTGCCTTGAAGGTCCTCGATTTGACATTAATATAAAAACAAGAACATGTGTTAGCATTCTTAAAATTCCGAAAAAATCAGTCTTGCAAATGATGGTTTGTCTTCTTAAATACCTTGGATAAAGTCTGAAATTTTATGAATGATCACAACTTGAGAAGACAGATCTTAATAAAATGACTTCTCTTCGGGTTTTCAATATCTCATTAAGATCTTTTTGCTGGCTAGAAACAGAACTAATCAGCTAAAACATAGGGAAATGCTTTCTCTATAGCCTTTTTCATCAATCTAACATTGCCCTACTCTAAAAAAAAAGCTGTTAGCGCAATCCCTTGCGGGATTAAAAATGTGAAACACGATAGACCTACTGTTACTAATTAAATGGACTTCGTTTTCTTCCATTTCTTTATGATAGACTTCTAGCTTATCGTTTGTTTTAATCTTCCAAAACTACAGTTTCTGTGTAACAGTCTGTGAAGGGTTTAGATATTCTCTGTCACGGTCTGTGATGGTGTCTGGAGGTTCTCTGTCACGGCCTGTAATAGCCTCTGGAGTCTCTTTGTCGCGGTCTGCGATGGGTTTGGAGCTTCTCTGTCACAGTCTGTAATGATTATTAATTTTCTATCACGGTCTGTGACGGTCTCTGAGGGTTCTCTGCCACGGTCTGTAATTGTCTCTGGGGTTTCTCTGTCACGGTCTGTGATGGTCTCTGTAGTCCCTGCGTCAGGATCTATGATAGTCTTTGGGGACTCTCTGTCACGGTCAGTGATGGTCTTTGGGAGTTCTCTGTCACGGTCTGTGATGGTCTTTGGGAGTTCTCTGTCACGGTCTGTAATGGTCTCTGGAGTCCTTCTGTCACGGTCTGTGATGGTCTCTGGAGGCCCTCTGTCACGGTCTGTGATGGTCTCTGGAGTCTCTCTGTCACGGTCTGTGATGGTCTCTGAAGTCCTTCTGTCACGGTCTGTGATGATCTCGGGGGGAGAGGGTTCTCTGTCACGGTCTGTGATGGTCTCTGGAGTCCCTCTGTCACGGTCTGTGACGGCCTCTGAGGGTTCTCTGCCACGGTCTGTAATGGTCTCTGGGGTTTCTCTGTCACGGTCTGTGATGGTCTCTGTAGTCCCTCCGTCACGATCTGTGATAGTTTTTGGGGACTCTCTGTCACGGTCAGTGATGGTCTTTGGGAGTTCTCTGTCACGGTCTGTGATGGTCTCTGAAGTCCTTCTGTCACGGTCTGTGATGATCTCGGGGGGAGAGGGTTCTCTGTCACTGTCTGTGATGGTCTCTGGAGTCCCTTTGTCACGTTCTGTGATGGCCTCTGGAGCCCCTCTGTCACGGTCTGTGATGGTCTATGGAGTCCCTCTGTCACGGTCTGTGATGGCCTCTGGAGCCCCTCTGTCACGGTCTGTGATGGTCTCTGGAGTCCCTCTGTCACGGTCTGTGATGGTCTTAGGGGGGGGGGGGGGGG